GAATTATTTTTTCTAGTTTGAAATTATTAATTCTAGTTCTATGAGGAATACTTCTGGCATTTTTGTTGGGATTGCAGTAAAACTATGTGTCAGATTTAGATGGCCATTTTGACAATATTGGTTCTGCTTATCCAGGAACAGGAGGTAGCTTTCCATTTTCTGATATCCTCTTTGATCTTCTTTTTCAGAGTACTGTAGTGTTCATTTGTGGAGGTCCTTCACTTCTTTGGTTAGGTTAATTCCTAAGTACTTAATTTTTCTTGACGCTTTTGTATACAGTAGTATTTTCCTAATTTCCTTCTCAGTGATTTTATTATTTATTGGTGTAGAGGAACGTGAATGATTTTTGTGTGTTGATTTTTTATCCTACCACTTGCTAAATTTGGTTATTAATGCTAGGAGACTCCCATGGAATTTTGGGGTCTTCTTCCATCCTTCAGAGAATCATGTCATCTGCAAATAGTGGTAATTTGACTTCTTCCTTTCTTATACATATCCCTTTTATTTCTTTCTCTTGCCTGATTTCTCTGGCTAATGCTTCAAGTGCCATATTAAAAAGGAATGGTGACAGCGGACATTCTTGTCCTGTTCCAGATCTTAGAGGGAAAGCTTTCAGTTTTTCCTGATTTAGTATGATGTTAGCAGTAGGTTGGTCATAAATAGCTTTTATTAGATTGACATAAACCTTTTATATCTAGTTTCTTCAGAGTTTTTGTCATGACTAGATGTTGGATTTTTGTCAATGGCTTTTTCTATATCTATTGAGATAATTGTGTGATTTTTGTCTTTACTTCTGCTTATGTGATGTATTACAGTTTTTGATTTATATATGTTGAACCATCTTTGCATTCCTGGAATGAAGTCTATTTGGTCATGATGTATAATCTTTCTGATGCTTTGTTACATCCTGTTTGCCAGTATTTTGTTGAGGAGTTTTGCATCTATGTTCATTAAAAAGATTGGCCTGTGCTTCTCTGTTATAGTTAGGTCCCTGTCTGGTTTTAGATCAGGGTAATGGTAGCTTCCAAGAATGACTTTGTAAGGGAAGTACTCATTTCCTTTCCATTCCATTAAAGAGCTTGGGGAGTACTGGCATTAGATCGTCCCAGAAGTTCTTGTAGAATTCAGCAGTGAATCCATTAGGTGGTATATTTTAATTTATTGGTAAATATTTTATTACCACTTCAATTTCATTGCCTGCTATTCAATTATTCCCATCTTTTAAAAATCTTCTTATTTCACTTTTGGAAGTATATATATTTCTAGAAATCTATGCATTTCTTTGAAATTCTTCAATTCATTGGAATACATGTTTTCAAAGGAGTTGCTGATAACCTTCTGGAATTTGGTAGTGTCTTTTGTGATTTCACATTTTTCATTTCTAATTGCACTGATTTGGGTCTTTTCCTTCTTTTGATGACTTTTGCTAACCATTTGTCTATTTGTTTATTTTTCTAAAGAAGCAGCTCTTCAATTCATTGATTCCTTGTATTTTTCTTTAGTCTTAATTTCTTTAATTTCTGCTTGGTTGGTCCCTGTTTGACTCCAAGTATTCCTGGAAAGACTTCCCACCCTTAGCTCAATCAGTCTCACAGACCCAGAGGGGATCTTAGTCTTTTTTTGTGTTGCTATGCAGTGTGTCTGAGGCTGGATAATTCATAGAGAAAAGAAATTTGTTTCTCAGAGTTCCAGAGGCTGTGAAGTCCAAGACCAAGAGGCTGTATCTGGTGAGGATCTTTTGGCTGTTTCCTAAAATAGTGGCTAATATCACATGGTGAGAGAATAGAAGGAAGTTAACTCTGGTGTTTCTTCTTATAAAGGCACTGATGCATGAGGGAAGGCTTACGCTTATGACCTCACATAATCCTAATTACCTTTCAAAGACCCTCTACTTTCATATCAGCAATAAGTGAGCGAGACATCCAGGTAATCCCAGCCCTCTGGGAAGGCTGAGGGGAGAGAATCACAAGGTCAAGCCTAGCACTGGCAGCTTGATGACTTCAGAAGACCTCAAAATAAACACTAAAACAAGCTGGCAAAGTAGCCCAGTGTGAAGCCTTAAGTTCAATCCCCAGTATCATAACAATAAAAAAATGCTGTCAATTATGAATTAGGGGGTTCAATTTTGAACCCATGAAACTTGGGAGAATATTCACATCCCAGCAGATGGGTGGACAGGTGCCTCTCCTTTCCCCAGGAGCAGGCGTGGACCATATCCCAGGTCCTGCTTACTTGGATACTGCCAAGAAGGAGGAAAGGAACACAATATGAAGCCCAGGAATGCTAAAGACAAACTGACCCATTCACACTCTTTTGGTCAAGCAGAGCCTATCAGGGCTGATGTCCTCTGGATTTGTCATGAGCTGCCATCCTCTGGCTGTCCTCTCTCGGACACACATGATACGAGTCTGCCCATTCTTTCTGTCTGTGGGAGGCGAAGGCCTGTTTTCACAAGCTTTGTCCTTGGTGGCTGAGGCAGGGGGCTGTCCACCGTAGGACTAAGTACAGGCATAATGTGCAGTTTTCCACTGGTTACTGAAAACAGCAGGCTTATGCTTGAAGCAGCAGGAAAACATTCAACTCTGTGGACTGACAGGTTTCTGTGTTCTTTGTTGTCCTAGATAAACCCTTGGCCCTCCCTGCTGTTCTTGGTCATGTGGACGCTGTGGACTTCACACTCTCCAGGGGATTAGAACACATTGCTCGGGCCAGCAACTGGGCCCGGGAGGTGACAGGACACACTTTAGAGACCCTGCATCCTGTCTTGGCCCCAGAAGACCCCAAGAAATTCAAAAGGAGCCCCTGAATGTGGCAGCATAAGGTGTCATCCCCGTAAGCTGCGAGGCTGAAGCAGGAGGACTGCAAATTCAAGTTCTGCCTGGGAGCCTTAGCAATTGACCAAGGCCCTGTCTCAAAATAAGAGCAAAGAAGGGCTGGGGATGGAGCTCCATGGAAGGACCTGGGTTCAGGCCTCTATACTGGGGAGAGGGGTAAAGCAAAGGGAACTGCTTCAGGCCCCTGGTGATAGTTTTCACAGCAAATCTTTCCCTCAGCCAAAAGGAGTAAAATAAATTTCTTAAACAAAATAATGTGGGCTGGGTCCACCCATGGATTGGAATTTAGTGTCTCTGGTGGTTGGGGTGAAAGGAGCCACTGATTGTTTTAGTGGATCAGGGAACATAGAGTCAGGCTGGTTTATTATTATTTTAGCTATTGAGTCTAAATGAAAAGGCAAGCATCATGGGGGTGGATGTGGCTCTCACACAGAGAGCCCCTTTCATGGGGTGCTCACAGCATCTAGACTCTGGAGCCTCAGTACTGAGCTTGATACTGGAGAAGGCTCTGTTCCCGCTCCTTCACGCCCGGATGTGCCCGTGTGCAAAAGGTGGAGCCAGACAAGTTTCACCCTGCATTCTGCCAGCTCCTGTCCATACACTGGGCACAATGACAGCAAGCCACCTCCTCTGCAGATCTCATGCCCTCCCAGCACAGACCCTGGTGCTCTCCTGCAGAGAGGAGGCCACAGGTCCCCGGGCCTGCATGCCCACCTGCTGCTCACGGGTGCCTCCTCTTTGGAATAGCAGGCACCCTGCTGTATTTTTGAATCTCTTTCGTTGATGTCCTAACTCTGTTTTAATCACTACTCAGGAATCTACTTCAAATATTCAGACTTCAGTGTCTGCCAAGGGGTGGGTTTGGCCGTGACAGGAAAACAGGAAAAGGCTTAAAAGTTAATAAAGCTGGAAGAAAACAGCTTTCATGTTTGCAGGGGCAATTTCCGGGGCCCCTGCTCCCAGCTACCTCTGGATCAGATCAAGGAAGTTTTGTGGTGACGGGGCTGAGCCTCTCCTTGCGTTGGAGCAGCCTGATTAAGTTTCTGGAAACCGGCAAGAAGCGCAAGGGAGTTTCTGGGAGATGTTATTAGAGTGAATGGACTGTTTTCCTTAGCAACCCCAGGGAGCCGGGTCACATGCTTGTTACTGGCATTAAGGACAGGGAGCAAGCTTGCAGATTCCTCTGTTACTGGACAATGATCTATCAAAGACAGAATGTGTGCCAACTGGTGTCCTGGGCTCCTGGAGCCTGGTGAGGAAGAAGGCACCCATCTTCTTGTTCTTGAACCTCTTACATTTCAAGGGGGAGATGGATGAGAGGGGCAGAAATTAAAAGGTAAGTTGAGCTTGTGCTGAAAAAAAAGAAAAGTCAATGGAGTAGAGAGGGAGTCTTTCAAGTGGGGTCGCACTGCAGCCAGCAGAGGCACAGGCAGGACAGTTGGAGGACATCATTTTCAGATTCTCGGCGAATGTGTGTTCCCTTCTGTAACACATTTGCTTCCCCTTTCCTTGTTGTTATTCCATGTTGCTATAGAAAGACAAACTTCTCCATCATGCTTCTTTCAATGAATATTCTATCATAATTTAGACCTAAATTGTCCCCCAAAAGACTACAGTGTTCAGAGGTGGGGCTTTCGGAAGGCAATTGGATCATGCGGGCGCTATGGTCATGAGTGGATTCATCTGTTGGTGAGCTCATGGCTGAATGTACTGTTAGGAGGTAGGGCCAGGTTGGAGGTGGGTTATGGGGGTTGCAACTCGGAAAGAGGTGTTCTCATCCCTCCTCCTCCCTCTCTCTCTACTTCCTGGCTGCCACAGGTTGAGCAACTGTCCTCCTCCACCAGGCCTTTCCACCATGACATTTCTGCCTTGGAGCCAGCCAACCATGTACTGAACCCACCGGAAAATGTACTAAATAAACTTCTCCTTTCAGTTGCAAGTGGGTATTTGGTCTTAGTGATAGGAAAGTGCCTGTTATACTTGCTCAGTGCACATAAGGGACAATCTGGACTATTGGTCTAGAGATGGTTTGAGTGTGTCTTCCAAAAGTTCACATATTGAAATGTAACCCCCAGTGTGAAGTAGAAAGAGGCTGGACACTTAATCCTACAATATTACCAAGAGATAAGGTCATCAGGCAGAGTCCCATGATTAAATCCTAGTGGTTTTAAGAGATAAGGAGAGACCAGAAGATACCGACACAAACACACACACACACACACTCACACACATACTCACAAGCATGTGTACACTTCCTGTCTCTTGCCATGTGATGCCCTACCCCACCTGAGGACTTTGCCTGTGGAAAGCCATCACCAGATACAGCTCCTTGAACCTTGATTCTTCAGAACTGTGAGCACAAGCTAAACCTCTTTTCATTAAAATGCACCTAGGCTGCAAGACTGTGTGACTGACAACAGAAAATGTGCAGTGTGCCTCAAGTAAACTCCCACAGGGGACCCTTGTGTATCTCCCTGCCATGTGGGTGTCTGTTAACGTGAAACCTAGCTTTGAAAAGGGGTGTTTAGACCCAGACTGAGTTCTTTTGAAGCCAGACAGGGAAAGCAATGGCAATATTAATCTTATGACTTGCCCTCCTCTGTACCTGGCCCTGGCCTGGGACGCTTGACTGCCAAAGGAGATCCCTGGTGGCCAAAGCAAAGAGGGCATGCTGGAGGCTGCTGTACCTTGCTCCAAACAGGAGACAACACAAGGTCCAGGTCTGTGTCTTGCTTGTGTATCCACGGCAGGATTCTCAAGGAAATGCACAGTAACATGCTCTGTCAAATACAAAGCAAGTTAGACCCTTGACAAAGAAAGTCTGATTTGGTCGGCTGATTTGACAAAGACTGGCTTTGCCAATTAGATGCCATGGTAGAGATTTCTTATTAATTCAGTGAGCAGAACTTACTGGGTTGTGCTCTAAGGGTTTTGTGAAAATAAATGCTAAGCATGAGAGAAGATACAAATCAATGTACTTACATGCATTTGCTGAGGCCTCATGGAATGAGAAATGTTTTTATTTTCTCAACCATTTTTGAGTAAATCTAATTAAACAAAGTGCTCCAAGTGAGACAATAACAAGTAATCAGTGGTCACTTAGTAATTCTTGGTAATGAGACATGGGAATTCTTTCCAGAGGCTGAAAATGGCTTGAATGATTTAGCAATGTACTGGTTTTTTTTGTTTGTTGGTTGGTTTGTTTTTGGTACCAGGAATCGAACTCAGGACTTGCACTTGCCAGGCAGGCGCTGTGCCACTGAGCTGCATCCCCATCCCAGCAACATACTGTTTAAGCAAACCAAGTGGTTTGCAATCTCTGTCTGTCTGTCTGTCTGTCTGTCTGTCTCGGGTTTCCCTTTTGTGGTATCTCTTTCTTTCTTTTGCAGTAGCAGGAATTGAACCAAAGGGTGCTATACCACTGAGCTACATTCTGAGTCCTTTTTTATTTTTTGTTTTGAGACAGGGTCTCACTAAGTCTTACCCAAGCTGGGCTTGAACTTGCCTCAGCCTGCCTTAGTGCTGGGATTATAGGTATGGACCACTGGGCCCAGCTTCTAACCCTGTCTTTTCCTTAAGTAGAAAAAATACCTAATCCAAAGCTCATCATTAAATTGTCATTTACTGATTTATTACCATGTAACATTTTTATTTTAAAAATTAAAAAAACTAACAAAACAACAATGAAGACAAAATCAAAACAACACAAAAACAACAGAAACGATACATGCCCTCAGACCAAAATAATAGGAATTAACAGTGGTTGCTACATTACATACTGTTATCTTCAGTGAAGTTGCTCAGTCCACCAGACATAAGAATGTAAGATTGATCAAACAATCAAAGACAGTAACAAGTAATAAGAAAAAAAATTGGAAATAATGCAGAGCTTCACCATACAAGATGGTAGGAGGTCAACAATGGTTCTTATACAGCATATTGTTGTTTTCAGGTTAGTCATTCTGATTACCAAATTTGAGCATGCAACATTGGTCAAGAAAAAAGAAAATTTTAAGGATTGACTGTTCCTTTCAGTAAACCACAGACATCAGCAATACACCTATCCCATGTAACTTTTGATATATAATTATTTTTGATAAATTCAGTTCAAAGAAGGTAAAATTTCTTACACACACACACACACACACACACACACACACGTGTGTGTGTGTGTGTGTGTTTTGCTTAGTGTTGGGGGTTGAACCCTGGACTGTGCATGCCAGGAAAGCACTCCACCACTGAGCTACATCCCCCGCCTCTGATAGTTGTCTTGTAAACATTGTTCCCCTTATTTAGAAATCCATCCTGACATTTTTACCTTAAATAATTCAAAGCTGATCACTACAATTTTATACTGATTTTTGAGGTCTGTGATAGCACTGTCAATCTAAGATTTTTCACCACAAAGTATATAGTCTTTTAAATGGATGAAGACAGGCATCAAATTGCTGTGTTTTCTGATTCTCTCAGACACATTTAAAAGCACGATGTAACAACTTACTTTAAAAGCCAGTATTTGCACTATAGTAGAAATTGTATTTTTGCAACTAGTTAAACTCGTGATGAGGGATTTGAAATATAAACTTTAAAATGTGCAAAGAGGGCACACAAACTTTAGAAATTATTTTAAAGCGTGTCCAAGCAGCATAACAATCTGAGGACCCCGGGGGCGCAGGGTGGCTGGAGGTGGCTCTCTGGGGAAGGTGTCTTTGGGAAGAGGTGGGGGAGGGGTTGTCAGCTGACTGCAGAAGGGAAAGGAATTCCTGGCAGAGGCAGCAGCAGGTGCAAAGGCCCTGAGGTGGGACAGACAGCTGGTATGGGGAGCTATAGGAGGAGATAGAGAAGATGGCTACAGACAAGGATGCTGGAACAGCAGCTGTATGGCAGGACCACTGGGATACTAGTGCCCTGATTTACCTGTGGCCTTTGTCCCTGTCAGCCACAGGAGGGTTTCCCAGCTTTGGCACTGTTGATACTTGGTGCTGAGTAATTCTCTTTCTTGGGGGCCTGTTCTGTGCACTGTAGGATGTTTAGGAATATCCTTGGCCTGAACTCACCAGACGCCAGTAGCATACAGCCATCCACTCCCCTGTGACAATGAAACATGCATTTAAAATTTGTCAAACATCCCCCACCATCACCCACCCGGAGAACCATTCAGCCAAGGCCTTGTCTGCACCGGAGAAATGGGCCTGGGGGATTTGGGGTTACACAGAGAAAGGAGGGGATGCGCAGCTTTTGTCCTTCAAAACAGGCGCCTGAAATGATGAGCAATAAAATAGCTTGAAAAAGCAAACCTAGTTGAAAACACCTAACAGTCTTAAGCAGCCCTTTCGCAGCAACAGCAGCCAAGCCAAACCAGCTTGGGTGGGAGAGTTCTTCTTTTGGCTGTAGTTAGAGAGAATCGGGGTGGGACATAGATGCAGCCGCTCTGTCTTAGGCGGGAGGCGACGAATGTTTCCAAAGTGATCAGAAGGAAGCAGAAGGGGACAAGTGACATTGTCAAGGGCGATGAGACGAAGACAGACACCCCAGAGAGACGGAGGGCACGCGCATCCCTAGGGCAGATAGGCCGGTGTTCTGCTGCCAGAAGATCCAACAGGGCCAGCAGGAAGCAAGGCGGTCCTGCGGAGGGGAGGGTCCGGAGAGGGGACTGTGGAACAGCACCGTGGGTCCCTCACAGCTAGGTGTCCCTCGTGTCACCCTGGGAGAAACAGATGCTAGGTGGACCGGCGGTCCTGCTAGAAGCCTGGGTTGAGGCAGACAGACCTCAGACAGCGGGGACCTCACGGCCAGAGCAAGCAGCAGAACTGGGACACAGATGCCAGCGCGCGGCTGAGGAGCACGCAGGACCAGTGACCTCGCCAGTCAGCTCAGCCAGGACAGAGGCCTAAAGCAAAGCCACACCAGCCCTGCCGCAGTGAGGAGTCGAGCAAGGTAACGAGTCGGTGAAGATATTGGTGGAGATGTGGAGAAGCCCTCGTTGGAAGGAATATTAATTCGCACAGCCATTATGGAAAACTGTACAGAGGCTCTAAAATATTTAAAAAATAGAACTACTATATTATCTAGTGATCTCTCTTCTGGGTATATCTCCAAAGGAATGGACATTATTATGTCAAAGCAATATTCCCTTATTTATTGCAGCATTATACACAATAGCCAAGATATAGAATGAACCTGAGTGCTTCTCGGCAGTTGAAGGGATAAATAGTACATGGTGCATATACTCAGTGGAGTACTATATGGCCTTAGAAAAGGAGGAAGCCCTGTCATTTTCAACAGCCCAGATGATCCTAGAGTGCCTTGTGTTATGTGAAATGAGCCAGGTACAGAGAGACAAATGTCACAGGACCTCATTTATATGTGGAATCTAAAAGAAAGTCAAACTTGAGAAGCAGAAAGTAGAATGGCAGGAGAAGGGACGGGAGTGGGAGATATGGGTCAAAGGACACAAACTTCAGTTAGGAGTGTGTATACCATGGCGACTACAGTTAAGAACAACCTATTACACGCTTGCAAATGGCTAAGAGAGTAGATTTTGACAGCTCTCCCTCCACACGCAGAGCGGTGTGAGAGGAAATGCATCTCTTAACTTCAGTTAGCTATTCCACAGTGTGTGCATATTTTAAAACACCAGGTTGTGAATCATAAATACATATCTTTTTTGCAACGTGGAGGACTAAACTTCCAGGGCCTTGTGCATGCTAGGCTAGTGCTCTACCACCAGCCTGCCACCCCAGCCCACTACTATGTATTTTACAGCAGCAAAGACCCAGGACCTCTCGACAGTATCCCCACAAGACGTGCTATCCGCTTCTGCACTGAGGTATCATTTGAGGAGACGAACCCTGAGCAACTGAGAGTTTTGTAAAAAGAGAAGGACTCGATGTAGGGGACTTTCAATCAAACAGTCCCCGTCCAAGTGCCAGCCACCTGCTTTGTATCAGAGATCAGAGGAATTGGGCATGTTCAGGGTGGCATAGCTGCTGACTGAGCCCAGAGACCAAGTGGGCCATGACTGGAGTGTTAATTCTCTCTGGTGCTCCCGGGGTCTCAATCTAAGTAAGCACTTTTGTAGAAAATAAAGAACATGCCATGCCACGCCCATCTCTGACTTGGGTGCTTTCAATTTGATGTACCAAATTAAATTTGTTGCCAAGTGTTTTCCATGGTGTTGTTTATTTATTTGGTGCTGGGGGAAAACACCCAGAGTCTTGCGTGTGTTACACACATCCTAGACCACTGAGCTGTATTCCCAGTCCTAACAAATTCTTCCTTCAATTTCTTTTACGATTATGTGATTGTCGACTTTTGTATTTCTCATTTAATCCGTTTTAGTGAGGGAAAGTTTCTATTTATGTGCACGTTTCATCTATATTTTCCAATTTCTTGGCATCTTTTTAGCATACTCATCTATCTTTTTCATCTCAGCTACCTCTGTGCTTCTTTTCTTATACCAGATCTTGTTTATTCAGCAGTCTTTTCTTTTTTAAATTGATCTAGACAGAGAGTCAAAACTATTTTTTTTTGTTTTATTTCTGCATTGCTGAAGAGCGAACACAGGGCCTCAGGCATGTGAGACGGCACACGGAGCTACATCCCAGCCCTAAGAGTTTGATTGGAAAAGCCAGTATCTGTTGTTTTTTTCAGGGCCCTAGCATTTGGTTGATGTTAATTGTTAGACACTAACCCACGTGCTTTACATATATTGACGAATTTAATTTGGTACATCTAATACCTTCTTCTTACAACTGCCTTATTCTTCATATTTTCCACTGTGTGTCCCAGTTTGCATCCTGAAACTTTCTTCAGACATCTCAGCTCCTCTGTTCTCTGTCCTGCTGGCTGCTTCACCACTCACCCCTGGAGTCAGTGAGGGGATCTTTCACTTCTAAAGATTCTATTTGGTTCTCTTTTTTTTCAGCTGATTTAGTCAGTTTTATGGTCTCCCTCTTCTTTGCTCATTGATTAAGTGCCACTTTTTTTCCTGTAAACATTTCACACTTCACATTTTGTGTTTTGCAATCGCAGTGTCAGAAATGCATAGGACGTGACATTTGTCTTGTTCGTGCTGTTGCTCCCACTCTGAAGCATTTGGGATTTTTTTTTTTTTTTTTACTGTGAGCTTATGTGGTGTGAACATTAATCGGCTGGGATCCCGGGAGCCGGTATGGGTGAGGTTTCTTCCGGGGTTTATGTCTTCTCCAGAGCCGAGAATGTCACCACGCGGCGCACACTTGAGCCCCGGCGCAGGCACGGCTTCCTATGGGAGCCCCTGATTTATTTCTCCCACAGCACTGAGAGCTCGGGGCTTAGCCTCCTCGGATCCCAGGGCTGCTGCTTCTCCCGCGAGCTCCGTGACACATTTGCAGACTGTGCCCATCCTACGGCCGACTCCGTATTCTCCTCCCGTCCCTCCCTGACCTTCGCGCTTGTCCTTATTTTCCTACAAGCTGAGCAATGCATAGAAAAGTGCTTAGAGTAATTTTCAAAGACCTAGTTGTATAATAACGGGAGGGTCCTTCAGATAAACTGACCTGCCACGCTCCTGGAATTGAGGGCATTTAAAAAAATCTTTACATTATTTCAAGGAGAATGTCTGGATTAAGTGTTCTTGTGCATGTTTTAAAATGTTAAAAAAATTTTTTTTGGCAGTACTGTGGGGTGGAACCCAGGGCCACGCATGTGTTTGGCAAATATTGTATTATTGATCACGTCCACAAATATTCTTGTGTCTGTCACAACTTTTTAATTCTTGTTAAGAGTTAGATTTCCCCTGTAAGAGCAGTTATGATCTATCTATCTATCTATGTATCTATCTATGTATCTATCTATCTATCATCTATCATCTATCTATCTATCATCTCTCCATCTTACTGGGGATGGGACCCAGGATCTAGTGCATGCCAGGCAAGCACTACCCCAGGCGTTGCAGCCCCTGGAATTTAATACAATTATTTTGCTTTGGTTTTCTTTATCATATGGTTCTGTTCTGCTACGGCAGGCGACACAGTTCTTCCATTTAGTTTTCGCCACCGTGGTATGAAGTGTCTTTTAAAGATGAATGAATTTCTATGAAAAAAATGATTCAATGTGAAGAAATCATTCAATGAACACAGCACAGGTCGTTATCCAGCACTGCGGAAATCACATGAGAACGAGGTTAGGAAGCACTGGTGGGTATCGCCCCAATTCCTCGGATGCCACATCCTCCCCGCAGCCCAACCCCAGGCCTCTCTCCTCCTCTCCCTCCTTCCCTCCCTCCTCAGGGCACCCAAAGAAAGCCATGGGCCTCTCCTGCTGTTCCCCCCTTTATCACATGTTCTGCACCCAGTTCACCCCATGATTGAAACGAACCCTTTGAGATCAAATAAAGCCCCACACCCAACTCCCCATGGGACAAGTGCTCCCCCTTCTGTCTCCTTGTCTCCGCCTAAGACTTGGTCTCCTTGGGTGACAGAATTGCCCTGTGCCTCATGCATACCTAGCACTCATGTGCCAGTGGGCCAGCTCCGCTTGGGCTTGGACATCAGATGGGCCGGCATAACGTGGGACCGTCGGGTGGTAGGGAACAGCATAAGAGGCAGGCCGGGAAGCAGGCACAACAGCAAACAGGCTGTGATGTTTCTACTCAGTGTTTTTTCCTTCTTAAAGCATCTGGGTGGTGGCATGACAATCCTGCACGGCTTTGTCTCTTGGCCTTTGTCTGTGTGTCTCACACTCTGGAACGCTGCATTTTGGAAGCACAGTGGAGACTCATGCCCAAATCCTGGTGCTCAGCGCCGACCACCCGGGCACCCAGGGAGGAGGGTGCCCACTGGCTCCTGCTTGCCGAGGTCTCACCCAGCCCCGTGTCATCCCGGAGGCTGCGTGGACGGAGGTGCATGGCGGGGAGAAGAGGTCTAAGCCAAAAGGAAGCGGCTTCCTGATCCCTGCTGCTGCCTTTTGGAAACTAAGTTCATTTGCGAGGTCCTTTTTCTTCTTTCTCCTGAGACCCGGAAGAAAGCTCTGTGTGGGGTCGGTTCTTTCTAGAATTTGCTACGCTCCAATACTTTTTCCTTTTTAATTAGGCTTTCCCTCTTTTTTAAGGTCAATAGTTATTTTTAAATTCATCTACTTTGTGTAAATAAGCAAAATATATATCAGATATTGTGAAATAGGAAAAAAATGCTCAAATGGGGGAGGGGAGCAGGTGAGGGGGAGGGGGAAAGGAAAGAAGGGAAAGTAAAAAATTTAGAAAAGAAGGAAGACATGGAAACAAAGCTTTTATAAATGGAGAGGAAAGGAGGAGTTGAAGGGAGGGGAGGGGAATGTGAAAAAACCAAGTTATACCATGCACAGGTGCAAATTCTCTGTGATGAATGTGATCTTTACGTATATCTACAATGTACCAATAAAACCTGATTAAAAAATAAATTCACCTACTTTAACAGATATTTACTAAACAGCCTCTGCAGCAATAAGGCTTAAAAGCAAGGCTGTGGGGTCGACTGACTGTCTTTGAAGCTTACCTCTGCTGTCTGCTAGATGTCTAACCCTGCACACGTTACCTTCTGACTCGCCCCAGGTTACGGTTTGTGTCTGGATGTCCCCCCCAAACCCTCGTGCAGTCATGGGGCAGGCTTCTAGATTTTTGATTGATCCATAGTTCAATGCTGGGATTATGGGTTTGAGTGAATGCTACACCCACTCTGGAGCAGATAGTTTGCATAAGTAAGGGACGCCTGATCTCCTCCCTTTTGCTCTTGCTGCTTTTGCTATCTTCTGCCGCCATGAATGTTTGCCCTCTGCCATGTGCCACTCTGCTTTGCAGCCAGCCAAATATGGACTGAAACCTCCACCAACTGTAAGCTAAATAAACCTTTCCTTCCTTAATGTTGGGTGTTGTGTATTTTGTCTCAGCAGCGAGAGAAAAGTAACCAAGACACCATGTCATTACCTGATGGTGGTAGCGTGCATGGCCCTCAGGACTGCAGAGATCTGGCGAGACCTCGCCGGTGGAGGAGCAGGTACATCGCTCAGCACATCCTAGGCACCCAGTGAGGGAGGAGGAGGAAGAGGATGGTGATTTCAGAGATGATGGTACATGGCATGTGCTACATTAGGTTCTGGGGACACCAACATCAGGGACAAACGGCTCATGTCTGAGGCAGCAGGAAGTTCTGGAACAGAGAATAGATGGGATCAGGGATGGACGGTCCCGTGAGCCATCTGTTCCCTGGTGTGCGCTTGTAGGAGGGTCAGGTGTGAGAGAGGAGGGCTGACCTGGAGCCGGCAGCTGGGGGGACACTGCCGAGCCTTCCCAGCTCGACCCTTTCTCTTGGTACCTCTGGTGCCTTCTCTGCACCTCCATCGTTAAGCCTACCTGTCTTGCTGTGGTTCCCCAGTGCCCCCTCTGATCAGGCAGCTAAGGGTGACTACTTTGGAGATGAGTATTATGAATACCTTTGTGGCCACACATCTTGTACCATATCCTTTGACAACACTCTTTTGGTTTTAAAGCCATTGTTTCATTCTGTCTTTGTGGCATCTCTGTCTACACAGTAGGTACCCTGCAAAATGGTACCCAAGAATCCTGCTCTCCTGGCATTTGTACTTTCGTGTTGGTGTCACGTGGTGTCAGAAGTGGCCTGATAATGTCACCCTGGGGGGTGCTCCTCCTTTTCTCCCTCTCTCTACATCTTCTCACCTTGGGGAAGCCCACATCCACCCGGTGAGGAGTCGAGGGGAAGCCCGCATGGCCAGAGCCGAGGGAGTGAGGTTAGACCCCAGCCCTCTGGCCCCAGCCAGCTGTGAGCTGCCTGCAGCCCTGGCTGACATCTTATCTGCAATCTTCCAAGGGCCCCGGTGAATCCACCTGATTCCTGACCCTCAGAAACTGCGAGATAGTATTTATTGTTGTTGGAAGCTGCCTAATTCCAAACTGATTTGTTGCAGGGCCACGATGATAGAGTGCATTTCTCAGCTGTGCCTACTACATTCCCAAGGGGAGTGAAGGGTGATACTGACTGGGTCTCTACAGTTCCAGCAAATGAAGGAGAAGGCTGTCATCTGAAAATGTCCCCCAAAGCCTTGTGTGCTCATAGGTGGAGCTTTTGAAAGGCGACTGAATGATGAAGTGAAACAGCTGACTCGGAGTTGGGAGGCGGGCTCTGGTCACTAAAGGAGGGTCACAGTGGGCGTGGCCTGGAAGTGTCTGTCACGGCTCTCTGCTTCCTGTGCTCTGTGCTGCGAGCAGCCCTCCTCCGCCCTACCCCTCTGTCTTGCAGCCAGCCAGCCACGAAAGCACTGAGACTTCTAAAATGTAGCAAAACGAACTTCTCCTGTAAATTACAGGTGTGGGCATTGTATCTAAGCCAGGGGTGTAACAGCTGGTGGATTCCACCTTGCTCTGGGAGAAAAGAGCGGTGTGTTTTACCACCTGCCAGGCGAACCTGAATTTGAGTCCAGGCTCTGACATCTCCTAGGTCCAGCATGATCGTGGGCACATCAGGTAGCCTCCCGCAAAACTTCAGCTTCTTCCTTTAAAATATGGAGATAATAACGCCTAGCTTGTAAAGTCATTGTAGGGATGACATGAGATAACGTGTGCAGAGAGCACAGAGGATGGGTGCTCCACGTGCCAGCCACTCATGTAAATTCACGCCATCTCCACCGCGAAGTCACCAGGGGTATTGGCTGAGGGGCCCCTTCTTCATCGTCCCCTCACACCCTACCTCGGGTGGGGAGAGAGGAGGACTTTGCTTGCCAAAGCTAAGTGGGATTTTTCATAAACTTGCAAATAGATATTTGCCTTCTGCAAAGCACTGTAAATCTCACTTTAATTTGTACGACCACAAAGTCGTCTCTCATGTGCAGGGACAACCAGCTTGACTCACTGATTTGGCGGGATGACCTTTGGGGCGACTGGTCCCTTTTCGGAGTGGGTCCTTTTTTATCTTGCCAGGAAGGACAGAGTCTCATTATTTTATCAAGAGTTGTCCCCAAGTGAAGTCTTCCTAACAGACATTCAGGCGCTTGGAAGCAAGCATAATGGCCCAGTATTAAGTTGACTTGGCTAATTTTAAATCTCGGGGCATCCATCTGTACTTAGCTGCAAATTATACGTTGGCTCCGGGCTTTTCTGAGGCTTCATCCATGCAGCAGGTAACTAACACAACCCCGCCAAGGCAGGGAGCATAAAGGGTGTTGGAAAGGCTGTCTGAGTCCTCTCTAGAAAAGCTCCGCAAGCCGCCTGCCTGGGGAGCTGCCACCTGGCTACCGTGCAACCTAGCAGTCCTGGAATTATGAGAGGACCCAGGGTAAACATTAGCCGAGGCCATCAGCACCAGAGACCCCTTCCGGCGAACTCACTCTCATTCAATGCCAGTAGGCTCTTAACGCTTGGGAAGCAACTGCTTTGGGGCTGGTGCAATTCCCATCATAGCCGCGAGAGGGCAACGGGGGACCATTCCGCCCGGGGCGCTGAAGCTGGTTTGGCGTTTTCCTCCGCGTCCCCCAGGATGACGCCTGGAGACAGGACAAATATAGAGTAAACAGTACTCAGAGCCTGCAATTTAGGAGCCGCAGCCTCAGATGTCAGCTTCTTTTCTTTCTTTTTGTGATTTTTTTAAGACATCTAATGAGAGGGGTAGGCGCTGAGTGTTTGGAAATAGAAATCTCCTTTGTCAGGTCAAGGTCTGGGCTCGGATTTGCCTGGCTGGAGTCGGGGCTGTACCATCTCACATGAATTAATGCATGCATTCATTCTCCCGGCGCTAATTATCGAGGATGTAGTGCCACGTGCCCCTGGAGAGCAAAGGACTGCGGGGGCGCTGGGGAGGCGGCGCCCTGTGCCCCGGGGCTTGGGCAGGGGCTGTGGTCCCGCAGATGGAGCTGGGGGGTGAGGCCGGGCGCCTGGGGCGAAGACGGTCACCACTCAAAGCGCTTCAGGCAGAGGGCGGCCGGAGGGGACGCGCAGCCCCTGTGGTGGCTGCCAGGCGCTGTGGGCAGCCCGTGCCCATCCACCACCACCAGTCACCTGGGCAAGCTCGCCTGGCTCCCTGGCTACCCCCCAGACCCCGCCCACCGGCCTCTACCCAATGAACAGCCAGCACGAGATAAGTATCAATCAGATTAGCGCCCTCTATCCTGCATGGTCCCTGTGGGTCCTCCTCCTCCCTCTCTCTTGGCCTGTCCTATACACACGCTCTTTTAATTTTTTTTGTTTTTTAAATTTGTGTGAGTCTATGTTTGCAGCACGACGTAATGATTACATTCATCACGGGGACTTGGTACAGGGACACAACACATCTTGATTCGTTTCACTTCCTCTTTCCCTCTCCTTCGCGGGGTTAGCGCGGGGTCAGTCAGTAACCGGAAGAGGAAGGGAAAACCTTTGCTGTCCAAACCACATAGTGATCAGAGCGATTCGTAAACTATCTGGTTTGGCGGATGAGTGTTGGTTACTGGAGCTTTTTTTTCCTCTAGTGGACAATAGAGTTTGGCACTTTTTTCTCTGTTTTTGAGACAGTCTCAGTCTGTTGCCCAGGTCTCCTGGGCTCAAGTGATCCTCCTGCCTCAGCCTCCTCAGTAGCCAAGGTGTGCTGGTTTTCTCTCTTCTGTTTATATGTTTACTCAACACCAGTGCAGGGGCCAGGCAGGGCAGCTCTTTCTCCCAGCCCAGCTTTGTTCCCCTTGCACATCCCAGGATGTGGCACAGACCTCCTTGGTGTGCCTAGCTGTAAAATTCTAGACTAGAACCAAAGAGAAGCTGGGCGTGGTGGCACATGCTTGTAATCCCAGCACTCAGAAGGCTGAGGAAGGAGGATTGTTGTGAGTTTGAGACCAGCCTGGGCTACAAAGTGAGCTCAAGCCCAGCCTGAACTGCTTAGTGAGACCCTGTCTCAAAAAGACAAAAAAAAAAAAAGAACCAAAGAGAGAGCGAGTTCCTCTCTGATGTCAGAGCTTGATGCAACCCAAGTCCCAAAGCGGAAGAAGAAATGACTGGCGTCTTCTCTGCCACAGGCAGCCACTGAGACACGTCTGGGGAAGGGGCAGGCGGCCGCCCCGCAAGGCTGTTCTGAGCTGCTGGGGACGGGGCTGCTCCGTCAGAGTTGAGTCAGGCCATTACTAAGAGTCCGGCTCCAGGTGCGCTTTCCAGGACCAGGCCTTGCCGGGCACCTGGATCTGCTTAGCTGCTGCCGCCCTGAGGCTGTGTTCCCATAACAGATGAGGTTTCTTCTGGAATTTCTCTAGCAGTGGAAAAAATAACTCAATCAAAGACCCAGGCTTTGGAAACAAAGCGTTTACTTGTATTGACGTGTTCAGGTGAAAATGCGGCTTTGTAGTAGCGGTAGTAGAAAATGTGGCATTTTCTGTTGCTGCTGCTGGTTGTCAATTTACTTAAGATCTAGGGGGTGGGACTCCCCCCCATAGGCACAGGGAGCCTGTGATCCAATTAATTCCGGAGCTCGCTGAGCTCAGACACTGAACTGGGTCTGGTATGCGTGAGTTCTATGTGTCCCCCCACTGCCCGCAGGGTCTCAGTTTTATCCCCACTGGATAGCAGAGGTCGTTGAGCTCCAGAGGCCGCTGAGCCCCAGAGGCTGCTGAGTTGCCCGGTGATGTGGTCTGAGTGTGATGTGGACCAAAGTGCGAGTGCTGGAAGCTTGGTGGTCAGCACGGTGGCATTGGTAGGGAACCTCTGAGAGATGGCTTAGCGGGTCCTGAGTCCCTGGGGATGGACCCTGGAGGGCTCTGAAGGGACCCCTGATTGGTTCTTGTGAGAGGGTAGTTAGAAAAGAGCAAGCCTGGTTAGGTCTTTGTCTCTTTGGCTTCCTCTCTGGTGAGTTGGTCTCTCCCTCTCCAGATGGTCCCTGCCAAGGTGATGCCATGGCCATGAGGTCTTGATTAGAGCCAGGTGAATGCAGAGCCCTGCTCGTGAAGCCCCAGAACTGTGAGCTAACTACATCTCTTTCCTTTATAAGTATCCAGCCTCAGGTATTTCATTATAGTAACATGAAACAGATGAGTGCATCCAGCTAATATGTGGACTGCTGGGACTGGACCTGTCTATCTACATCCACTGCTCAAGCCCTGACCAGCACCACATCATGCCCCACAGGCCCTTCCCTGAGACAGAAAGAAAGATAAGGGCCTAAATTCTTGGGCTCTGTCTGCAGCCTTGAGCTGGGTCCACCAGGCCTGGTAGAGAAGAATCACCTTACACTCTTTCTCATTGTAGGGACTTCCCCCCTTTGCTTCATTCAGCAGAAAACCTGGCATTGGGCACTTTCTGGCAGAGTACTGGCTGGATACACACGGAGCAATGTAAGCTGTAAATCACACAATGTTTGGCTCTAGTGCATTTTCTGTTGCTATAACAAACTAGCGGAGATGGATAATTTATAAAGAAGTTTATTTGGCTTATGGTTCTGGAAGCTGGAAAGTCCAAGAGCTTAGCACTAGCATCTTCTCAGAATTTGCACCGTAAGTTTGAGGCTAGCCCAGGCAACTTAGCGAGGCACTGTCTCAATGTTTTAAAAGGGGAGGGTGGGGCTGGGGATGTAGCTCAGTGCTGAACTAAAGCACTTGCCTAGGATCCACAAGACTTACATTCAAAATACAGTCAATTTATCAACCAATAAAGGGAGGGAGAGGTGAAATGAGCTGGAGGAGAAAGAGAAAGATGATGGAAGATAAGCACAGCCTGGCTGGATATGAGTCCATGCCAACAAGAGGAAAGAAAACAACTTGTATTAGTTAGCTATCACTTCATAACAAATGATTCCCATAGTTAGCTGCTTAAATTTGTGAGCATTTATTTTTCTCATATGTTCTGTGGGTGAGGAATCCAGGTGGTTCTTAACTGGGTCGTTCTGGCTTGATATCTCTCCTGGGATTGCAGTGAAAATGTCAGATGGCACTGCAGTTGTCTAGGGTGGGAGAATCTACTTCCAAGCTCATTCGACTGGTGGAGGCCTCAGTTTCTTGCTGTGTGTAGAAGCCCTTCATGCTTTGCATGTGTACTTCTCCATAGACTCATAGGAGTCTATAGACTTCCTCCATATAGGAATCTTCACTATGTGGAGGCTGCTGGCTTCTCCCAGAGAGAATGACATGAAAGAGAGAAGAGATTGAGAGTGAGCACCCAGGGTGGAAGCTGTAGCCTTTTTATAACCTAACATCAGGACTGACTAACACATCTATGTGGTTAATTCCAGCCCTGGGTAGGGAGGGGACTACACAGGGATGTGGATACCAAGAGTGGAGCCCATTCAGCACCATCTTGGAGAGTGACAACCTGCTCAGCAGAAACACTTCAGACATCCCAGTTTCAAAGCTAGAGCCTGGATCCTTCAGCTTGGCTTCCTAAACTCTCCAGGTCTCCAGTACTTTCAGCTCTGAGCTTCCTCATTGCTAGCGTGGGCTCCAAAGAGGTGCTCCTGGCTCTTCCCAGGTTGGCTTTGAGCGGTTGGACCTTTGTCTTTATTTTATCCCCCATTCATCTTGGCCCCAACTCTCATGAAATACAACTCATTTCTACACAGGGTGGACCCAAGGTCTGAGTATCACAAGACTGTGAATGGTCTCTTACCTTCTCTGGAGACCTTTGGGAAAGAAACTGTTAGAATCCAGCCTGCTTTATTTCACTGAGCAGCTGAGGCGGCTGGGATTGGGGCTGCTATTAGTTTGCTTTCTTACGTTAGACTAGACTTTTAAATCAGAGAGAAGTCTACCAAACCCAGAGCCACTCAGACCTGGGCTTGGATTCTAGCTTTGCTGCTACTTCCAGTTCATGGGCATGGGTAAGTTACTAATTTCTCTAAACTTGATTATTGGCTTTTAAAAAAAATAAGGAGCTGATATCTAGCTCACAGAATTGTGGTGCAAATTGCATTAGTGCCAGGTGAAAATGTCTTGGTTGGGGGCCCACACAGAAGTGACTTAGCCAATGATTGCTAACACTGAAACTCTCTTACTGCATAGGGAAACAACCCTCCCTGGTTTATATCATGTTTTTCAGAATGCGATTTTTTAATATAAGAAAATGGTCAGTTCCAGCCATAAAAGTGATAATGTTTAAAGGTTTGCTGCAGCCTTAGCTGTAGTTTTATTATATCCGAGAGCCTGAAAATATTCTGAGGACCAATTTTTGCAAGGAGAGTAATGGAAAAAAAATGATTTGGTCTATAAAAATTCCCATCTGCGGTTAACTTTTCAGGAACACATCTTGTCCCCAAGGTGAGGGGCAGGTGCATCTCAGAAGAAATGCAGAGTCTTCTCATCGCTTTTCTGTTCATTCCGTCCTCCACAATTGGGCAACTGGTATCTTTTGGAAAATAACTGCCTGTCCACAGGTATGTCGTCTTAGAAACAATCATCTCAACATTTCTTTTCTGGGGCATTAATCTTCAAGGTGCTTATTTATCAAAGATGCATTCCTATTTTCAAGGCAACAGATTTGCTCTTTTTTTCTTTTCTTTTCCCCCCCAATATGCATTGTCATTCTGGGCAGAGGACTCTCTCCCTGATTTCTGCACTTCAGGATATTGAAAGTCGCCGCATCTCCTAGGCAAGTGTCACCATCCATAGCTCCCGAATAACTAATCAGGAGAGGGAAATGGAGCATCACAATGCAGAACTCATTTTCTGCTCTAACAGGGCTTGTGATTAAGCGGAGGAAAGAGCCCCAATTCACCTTGCGTGTCTGTGTGTGTCTTGCATTGGGGGTAGAGGGTAGACCAGATAGCCAGAAGGACCCTGCCTTAGAACTTGCAAAAAGGATGGGAAAGTGGTTATCGTTTCCACCTCCCATCCTTCCAGGTGATGAAATCCACCTTCAGCTGAGGTCTTTTGTTCCCTGAAGAATCCAACAGCTGGCCTCCTCTTAGATACTAGAGAGGTTCCAAAGTCAGCCTTTCGGAACCGGCTTGAGTGGTCCTGACCAAGTGCTTCCCCCTGAATCCCAGAGGTGATTAAGAGCCTACCCTGGTGAGCAGGCCTCATTAGATGAGAGGCCAGGGGCATTTGGGGGCCACAGACTCAGGTCTGGGTCTCCAAATCGAGCTTTCCATTGCCTTCCTCCCCTCCAAGTACCAGGTCCCGGGCCTGTGTGCACCCAGCAGGAACTCAACAAATGCTTACTGACTGCCATGCTTTTACACACATTATTAACTCATGTTGCTTGTTCTGTTGCTTTCCCTCAGTGATTCTGCCCTTGCCTATGCCCCCATCACCTTTTCCTTCTGTCACTGGGTCACTGAGGTTTTCTCTACTTCTTTCCTCAAAGGCCCAGCCAGGCATCTGCTGCTGGCACGGAGCTAGGCTGATGATCACAGGAGAAGCCATGAGTTATTATCCTTTCCTTCTGAACTCTCGCTGATGGATTTATATTTATGTGTGTGTGTGCACATGCATGCATGTGCGCTGTGGGAGATTGAAGCCAAGGCCTTTGCACTGAGCTACATCCCCAATCCCTTTTTAAAAATTTTTAGACGAGCCAAGATCTTTCTAAGTTGCTAAATTGCCTTGGGCTTGAACTTGTTATCCTCCTGCCTCAGCTTCCCACAGTGCTGGAATCACAGGAATGTGCCACCATGCCCAGTGGATTTATTTCTCTACTTCAAAGATGGGCCAGGAACGTGCATGAGCCTGGAGTGAAGTGGGTGACAGGGGTCTGGGGCAGAGAAGCAAGTGCCACTGACACACATACAGAGCTTGGCTGAGTTAACTCCCCCTGCTAGGGCTGGGTAGGTTTTCCCTTCTACAGTCCCTGGGCTGGCAGCTTGGTCCCCAGTGTGACGGTGTTGAGATGATGACCTTCAAGAGGTGTGTCCTGGTGGAGAGGAGCCAGGTCATGGGGTTCCCCTCATGAAGGGGTTCGGGTTGGTCTCACAGACTGGCTTAGGTCTTTTGCTCCCTTCTTACACACACGCCCCTTCCCTACACAGCAGGTTCCTTCTTTGCTCTCAGCCATGTTGTGCTGCAGCCAGGACACCCTCACCAGGATGCTGGTGCCATGTTGTTTGGCTCTTCCAGCTGCCGGCAGCATGAACCAAGAGATCCTCTTTACATCATAAGTTCTGAGGGCCAGAGACTTTGTTATAGCAACAGAGAACAGAAGAACACATTTCTGCACAATGCTGCTTCGAGGAGTGTGTCCCACTGTGTACAGAGGAGGGATTAGAAACACAGGGAGGTCGGGTTGCCTGAGCCACACAACCAGCAAGTGATGGTCAGAAATGAGGACCGGAAGCCGGGTGTGGTGGCACACACCTGTAATCCCAGCATTCTGGAGGCTGAGGCAGGAGGATCATTGTGAGTTTGAGACCAGCCTGGGTTACAAAGTAAGCCCAAGGCCAGCCTGAATTGCATAGCGAGATCCTGTCTCAAAAAAAAAAAAAAAAGAAAAAAGAAATGAGGACCGGGCCAGCCTGACCCCTCAGGCTGGAGGAATGGGACTCTTCTGGAGTTCCGGGCATGGGCACATCGGTGGTCCCAGGAGAAGGGAAACCAGGGGTGGACGTGCTTCCTGGAACATACCTGAATTTAATGGCAGATGTCATGAACAGTGGTAAACTTCTAGTTACTCATTTCATGTCTTCTTTGGTGAATGTTACTCTGAATTAGAAATTAATGAGATGGACGAGTGTAATGAGCTCTGTTTTGCAGCCGTGGTGTGTTTTCTCTACCACCAGCGGGTTGCCCAACAATCTAATTGCACAGTGACTTCTCCCTGGAGTTAGACTGAGGCCCCCCAGTCAAGCGCTCCATCTCACAGCCCCCCTCCAGATGCCAGGCTTAAGTCTCAGACCACCAGGACCTCTGACCCAGGGGATGGAATCTGGGATTCTGGCAATCCCCTCCTCTTAGCAATTTGCTAGGATGGGTCGCAGAACTTAGTGCCATCCCAGCGAGTCTACGTTCACTAACCCTGAGGTTGTCTGAGTCTCCTGATCCCGAACTCAAGCTCCTCCTCTGGACACGGGTGTTGGCAGTGGGCGGGAGGGCTGGAATCCCCATCCTCTGACACTTCGCTCTCTTTGTGGTCAGCCCCATCCTGAGAGGAGGTGCTAGGGGTCTCGCCCTTGGCCTTCACATTAGCACACAGCATTTTCTCTAGGGCTCATCATGAATAACAAAAGACACTCCTATCAGGCAACTGCAAGGGTTTTCAGAGCTCTGGGCCAGGAACCAAGGACAAAGAGCAAAATATGTTTCTTGTTAAATATCACGGTGTGCAGAGGTGACCTTTCAGTCCTCAGTCAGCACAGCCGCCCTTTGGGAGGTTTTCCTATGTGTTCTCATTTTTCTCCAGCGCTGCTTTCATCGAAGCCACTTCACCATTGCTCTAAGATAAAATTTGCTGTTTGCTGTCATTGCTGCTGCAGCCACAAGAGATGGAAGACCAGGCTCCAATTTCCAGTGGGGTTCTGTAAAACCAGGGCTCAGCGCCTGCACCTGGGAGCTGCAGAAACCGCCAGCTTCTCACCGTCTCTGTCTCTCATCACTTTGTCCACAGGCTTCATACAGGGTCAGGGTCCTGTGTGCACACAGGTGGTGCTTAATAAATGCTTCTGTGATCACAGATGGTCCGGGCAGCTGCAAGCACCTCATCTTCACACCATGGCGTCTCCATGGAGGAAAGTGTGTGTCTCATTCCCAGAGCCTCAGGAAACAGCCGTGGGCATCTTCCCAGGGTCCACTGTGTCCACATTCTGGCCTGATCCAGTCACCTGGGGATGCGGCGGGTCTGCAAAGAGCAAAGCTACTTACAAGACACTTAGCGAAGGGTACAGTGGACTGTTCAGGCCGACAGTGCTAGGCTGAGGACCGCTGTGCTGGCAGTCTGTAGCGGGGGGAGAGATTGGCTTACTTCCTGGGTGACAAGGAAAAGCGGGGTTTTACAGAGGAACAGCAGGGCAGGGTGGGAGTGGATGCAAAAGCACCAAGAGGAAGGAAGTATCACAGTGAGGGGGCTGCGGGCTGAGCAGACCCAGCAGGATTCTTGCTGAAGACAAACGGGAGATGAGATGTCCAACCTGGGCAACCGTGGGAGCTGAGGAATCTGCCCAGATGTGAGGGTGGGGGATCCTGCTAGACCAGCTGAGTAGGGTTCTTGCCAAAATTGGGCTGTTCGGTAGCACACTCCTATAATCCCAGCACTCGGGAGGCTGAGGCAGGAAGATTGTTGTGAGTTCGAGGCCAGCCTGGGCTACAAAGTGAGCTCAAGGCCAGCCTGAACTGCATAGCAAGACCCTGCCTCAAAAGACAATAAATAGATAAATAAAATAAAATACAGTTGGGCTCTTGAGGGTATGCCAAAAAGGGGGTGGAGTTGACAAAAAGCCCAGAGCAGCCAGATTGGGGTTTGATCAACAAAAAGTGTTTCTGTCAGGTCAGTAATCAGGGAGTGCTGGGTAAGCAGGGAGAGGCCATTTGGCCTCCTTTCTGCCCCGTGTCAGAGTCACATCCTCTGCTTCAAGACCAGCTGCTTCAGAAACTTGAGCAGAACAGCCACTGGCATTCCCTCCTGTAACCTAGCAGGGATGCAACGCCCCACCCCGCCGGCCCCCACCTTAGCATAAGGATGACGTGTATCCTGTATCACTGGCCCCAAGAAGTCAAAGAAGGCATGGTCCTGTTCTCCCCAGCATTCCCTCCCCTTGCTCTTTGGTCCAAGCCACTTCCTCCTTCCAGCACACACCCTTCTTTTAAAAAACAGCACAGTCCTTGCTCCTGTGCGCAGACCTCCCTTTTGCTGTCCCTTTCCACAATGTAATTGGACCCAGATAAACTCTCGTCTTTTCTTATTCTTCTCTTAGTAAATTCTCTCACCACTGTATCACCAGCCTCTGTGATGTCATCTTCGTGGCAGTCCCCCAAACCAGGGATAGTGTCTTGGTTACTTTTCTCTCATTGCTGAGACAAAATACCTGATGCCCAAAATTAAGGAAGGAAAGGTTTATTTAGCTCAGTGTGTGGAGGTTTCAGTCCGTACTCAGCTGGCTCCAAGGCAGGGTGGTAACAGTTCATGGCAGCGGGGAAAACAGCAAAAGCAGAATGGGAGGAGCAGGCAGGAAGAGCAAAGCTCTTTCTCTCCCTTGTATTGTATGCAAACTACCTGCCCTGGGGCAGGTGTAGTGCTCACACCCATAACCTCAACATTGGAGCATGGGTCAATCATAAACTCTAGAAGCCCACCCCATGACTGCATGAGGCTTTGGGGGACATCCAGACACAAACCTTAAGAGATAGGAATGGCAAAAAGCTGAATTCACCAAGGGGCAAACTACAGAGTGGGGTGGAGATCAAAATATGCGCAAAATCTATGGGGTTGAGATCAGTGATTCTACATGTGGAGGAATGGTGCTTGCTGTAGATTGAGTGCATCCCCATAGCTCACGCAAAGTGTTGGGAGATCACAGCTTCAGGAGACAATCAGGTCATGAGGGTTTGGCCTTTCTAGATGGAGCAATGCCATTGTCCTCCCTCCCCCATGAAACTATGTGTTCAACCCTGTCCCTCCTCAAATGCATACATGCATACGTCTGCTCTTGCCCTCCACACTCCAGGGATGACACAGCAGGAAGTCCCTGGCTAGGTGTAGACCTGTTATGGTTTGTGTCTGGATGTCCCCCCAAAGCCTCATGCAGACCTGGAGCGGGCTTCTAGAGTTTTTTATTGATCCACAGTCTAATGCTGGGATTATGGGTGTGAGTGCCACACCTGCCCCGGGGCAGCTAGTTCGCATACATTATAAGAGAAGGAGAGAGCCTTTTTCTGGACCACTCCTCCCTTTTTGCTCGTGTTGCTTTTGCTGCCAAGAACTTTGGCCCTCTTCCATGTGCCACCCTGCCTTGGAGCCAGCTGAGTATGGACTGAAACCTCCACAAACTGCGAGCTAAATAAATCTTTCCTTCCTTAATTTTGGGTGTTGGGTATTTTGTCCCAGCAATGAGAGAAAAGTAACCAAGACAAGAGCCCTTGGTCTTGAACTTCCCAGCCTCCAGAACTGTAAGAAACCAATCTCTGTTCTTTATAAATTGCCCCATTCCACGCATTCTGTTATAGTAGCACAAGACAGTCAAAGACAGAACTCAGCCCCCAAACTGCTGAGTGGCAAGTTCATGTGCGTTTATCTCATCTGTGGACCTAGCATGGCCACTTGTTAGTGAGAAGAGTCACCTGAAAGAGGTCTTAGGCATCATCTAACTTGAAGGCCTCATTTTTAGATATGAGAATGGAGAAAAGAGATGTCAGGGATTTGCTCAGAACGGCAAAACAAGTAAGAGGTTGTGCTGGTCCTGGAACACAGATCTGCTGACCCAGAGTTCAGGGCCAAGAAGCCTGCCTGGAGCTGATGGATGATGACATTCAGTGTGGGCTGGAGCTCACTCCTGCCTATGCCCAAGACCAGCCATCAAATGTTCAGGAATTCTGCAAGTCAGTTGGTAACTCCAGTCATTACTAATAATGATGTTGTATAAACTCACAATTAAATAAATTCTATTAACATGAAAGTAATTGTGAATGTTAGCTTTATTTATAAGAGTTGAAAGGTGGAAATATCACAAACATCCATCAACAGGTGGATAAAATGGGGTCTGTCTATAAAGTGTAATGGAAAAAATATAGTGTGTGCTTAAATTTAAAAAAAATTACAGTACAGGACATATCATTGTTAATGTCCCTCAAAATATTCTCTCTCTCTTGGAATACACTTGTTTTTGTTTTGTTTTGTTTTTTTTCTGGTACCGGGAACCAAACTCACGACCTTGCGCTTGCCAGCCAGGTGCTTTGCCCCTGAGCTAAATCCCCAGCCCCTCTTTGAGTACACTTATCCCATCATTTTTGCCCCTTTCTGAAGCAGTTCTGGAGTCCTCTTTTTGAGTGTCTTTAGTTGTTCTGTCATGGCTGCTTTCATGTCCTGAATTGAATTGATAAAAAAAATTTGCCTTTCATAGTCATTTTGACTTTGAGGGAGATCAGAAGTCTTGCAGTGCCAGAGGGGTGAATAAAACGGAAAAGGACAAACCGTACTGTTTTTATGTGCCTGCCGTTCTGTTGGACGGCCCTCAGCAGAAGCATTCACTGTGCTTTTTATGACACCTTGTAAGGACACTCATGAGTGAGCACTTTCAGAACTGCTCCAGAAAGGGGCAAGAATGATGAGACAAGTGCATTTGAAGTGAGGGGATTAACAGCAATGAGTCTTTTGCACAGTAGGTTTTTAAAAATGTTTAAGCATTCACTGTATTTTTTATTCACCCCTTATAAGCACAGGGATATTACTCAGTTATAAGGACAAGTGCGCAGGGCTGACTGCAGTCCCAGAACTCTGGGAGACTGAAGCAAGAGGATCACAAGTTTGAGCCCAGCCTGGGCAAATTACTGAAATGGAAAATAGAAAATAAAAAAGGACTGAGGAGATTCCTTGGAAAACTAGGATTGGAGGTGCCGTTTGACCCAGCTATTCCCCTTCTGGATATCTTCCTAGAAGAATTAAAAACATCATACCACAGTGATATGTGTGCACTCATGTTTATAGCAGCACAATTTGTAATAGCTACATCTTGGAACACAACCCAAATGCTCATCAACTGAGGAATGGATAAAAGAGATGTGCTATACAATGGAGTACTACTCAGCCATAAAGAAGGATAAACTTGAGACTTTATAGGTAAATGGATGCAACTTGAGGCCATACTCATAAGTGAAATAAACCAGATTCACATGTGTAAACATCACATTGTCTCCCAGTATGAGAAGCTGAAAGAGTATGTAAGATCCAAAATGTACAATAGATATTATAAAATAGGAAGAAACTGTTCAAAAGGAAAGAGAAACTGGGATGGGGGAATGGAGAAAAGAAGGAAGAGAAGAGCAAAAAAACTGCATTGATGTATCTATATACAAAATAGTTAAGATTGTTATATTACTAATTTCTCTTAGTTCTTTGAAAAGAAAGGTTTGTGCTAATATTTTTTTAACAATTAAATGCCTATATCTTGTACTCTGATTAATTTAAAGATAACTATGCAATGTATTAACCATTGTTACTCTCCTACTGTTTTGTTTTACTTTTTTCTCTCTCTCAAATAAAATGGAAGCCGGGCATGGTGGCACACACCTGTAATCCCAGCACTTGGGAGGTTGAGGCAGGAGGATTTCTGAGAATTCGAGACCAGCCTGGGCTACAAAGTGAGTTCAAGGCCAGCCTGAACTGCAGAGTGACACCCTGTCTCAAAAAGACAATATTTATTTATGCATACATGCATATATCCATTTTTTCCCTCAGATAGCCAGTCAACAATTATCAGCATGTCACCAGTTACAACACATCTCTAGGACTGATAGGACTCAATTTAAAAGGGTGCTATGTATAAAAAATTCCTCAAATGTGTTGATCCTACCAGAACTATTATAAATTATCATCAAGCCCAGAAGCAGGATGTTGGCAGCTCTGAGAGTAGTCAGGGCTGCAGTTTATAGAAAAAGTAGGCTCCATTTATTTCCATCTGCCAGCAGAGATGGATTTATTTTCCTTACTTGGAAGGCCTGCCTGTAGTATATTCTTCAAATCTCCTTGCCTCCCAGATCAATCAGGGATCAAGTTGTCTGATGTTTAGATGAATAAACAAAACACTCCTTGCACCTGGGTTAGAGCACATCACAGCAAATACAGAGCAAAACAGTTTGGTCCCCACATAACCTGTGCTGTCAGAAAAACTCCTAATTTTCTGGGTGAGGAGTTTGGTAGGATTTCCACAAAAGCACCAGCATTAAGTGTCCTCTCTCAGACCTCTACAGGGCTTATGCTATTTATCATGCTGCCCCGGGTAGAGAACTTTTGCAGTAGAAAAATAGGTGTTTAGCTTTCCTGTTCCTACGTTTTGAGTGAAGGACGGATGTATCTAGTCTTCAGAGTTCTGGAAGGAGGGGGACTTGGCCTCAGTGAAGCATTTTAGAATTTCCCAGGAGCTCCCAGATTGTTTAAGCTAATCCTGGGAGCAACTTTGAGAAGAGGATGTTACTGCAAGATCCTACTTGAGGTGAGGAGATGGGCTTAGAAGGGGAGGATAATTAGTCCAGCCTCATGCGACTCTAGGAAAAAAAAAATCAGGCTAACTCTCCAGCCAAAAATCACTTAAGGCCAGCGGGTTCAAGGATGAGGAAAC